TTTTCACGTTTTGACGTAGTTGATAATAAACGGCAAAAGCTCGACCAGATTGGATGCAGAGTGTTTTGACCTTCAAGTCTCCCCACAGACTCTCAATTGGATTTAGGTTTGAACTTTGAGCCACTTACTGTTCCACTGTCGCTCAGGCTGAATGCTGGGAAGGTGAACCTCTGCTCCAGCCTCTAGCATGCTTTCTGTCATAACGCTTTCTGATTTTAGCTGCATCCATCTTACCATCACCTCTGACCACTTTTCCTGTCTAAGTAAAACCTCCACATAGCATGATGCTACCACCACCATGTTTCACAGTAATGATTCTCTGTTTAGGATGAGAGTTGAATTTTGGTCTCATCTGACCAGAGCACATTTCAACTTGATTGCTATGCCCCCTGCTGTGATTGTAGGAAACTGTAGACTGCAGTACTTCACTTTTGCCACAGTTCCATATAGGCCAGTTTTGTGGTGTGCGTGGCTAGTGGTTTCCTTAACCACTAGCCCAAACCTGAGCTGACAGGAACAGCTGTGGATACCATGGCCACGATCCCTTTAGCAGAGACTGTAGCTAAGGGATAATTAGCTCTACAAACAAACCTGTATTAGCATCACTATTAAACACTGAAGCTTATGGCTGCTATAGCAGATGGTGCTGTGATACAGATTTAGCAGGCCTGAACCTGAAAGATAGGTTAAGTACTCAGACAAACTCTGGGTGGGACACATCCACGGGCATGTACTGTGTCTGTAAATAACACAGAGTGGCAGCAGAATCAGTCTGACGTGCCTCTGAACGCACCGTTTCATAATTCGCCAGTCGTGACGCAGTCCTCAACGCTAGCCCCGGTTAGCTGCGCAGCTACAGCGGAGCCATTATGTTTTTCATTACGGGTTCTCTCCTTAAAACCCCCCGAGTCCTCCGGTGCGTCAGACTGCTGCACTGTTCTCCAGTCACCAAGATGCCGATTAAGGTAACAAACTTTCAGTTAGCGTTAGCTTTGATTAACGCCCTTTGACCTTTAGCGAACGGAATAACAAGTATTGCCCTGCAAAAAAATATATCTATTTACGTTGTTTTTGGGGTGTAGCTGTAGCTCGCGCAGCTGTCACATTGTCGCCATGACAGCCGAATGGCGGATACTGCTCCGTTTGCTGTCATTCAGCAGCAAGTTATGCTCGACGTGGAGCTATCGACTGAAACCTAACATTTGGTAATAAAGGGCCTCTTTAGTTAACACTACTTCCTTGTGACTATTTTGGAAATCATTTTACTCATTAAAAGATATTCCTGGTGCAGAACAGAAGGGATTTATTCACATATAAGTCTTTTCGCTCTTCATTCCTCTTCCTCATTCTGCTTTGTCAAGTTGCTTGTATGGAGGGCAAATAATTATGTGCATGAGTCAACCTGTGTTTTTCAACTTTAAACGTTTACGTTCGCTGCACTCTTTGAAAATGTCAAGAAAATTAATAAATAAATATATAATTTGTAAGTATGGTGATTTGTCTCCATCTTGTGGCCTTTAATCGGTATTTGCGTATTTTGGAATAACCAAAATTTCTGTCAGTAAAGATATTTATCTCACCAATAAAATCAGGTATAAAAGACAAACAGCTACTTATTAATCCATGTCAGATTCCGTGTAACTTATTTATATAGTCTAGGTCATACAGGTTTACTATAGTATGAGTCCAAATTGAGTTAACTTCAGTCTAATACTATGAAATAGTCAAATGCAGATCCATCTTCCTTTGTGTTCAGATTCATCTGTGCTCCATAAGAAGATTTATTTGAAAGCTGAGAAATGAAAATATGTTTTTTTTAACAAATTAAAAATGAAAAATTAGCTTAAATTGCAAAATAAATGCTACTAGCTCGTATGGAAAAAAAATAAAGTGAACATTTAAAAAAAAAAAAAAAAAAACGGCGTTACTGGAGGACAATTTTTAATCATCTTTCTTTTCCTGATCTCGGTCAGGTTGGAGAAGCTCTTCCTGCAGTGGAGGTCCAGGAGGGTGAACCAGGAAACAAAGTGTCCATGGATCAGCTGTTTAAGGGGAAAAAAGGAGTCCTCTTCGCCGTACCCGGAGCCTTTACCCCCGGCTGCTCTAAGGTGTGGCCCCCCCCGCCGGTGACTCCGCTTGCCCCTCCTCCACACTCCGACCTTTTCATCAGCCGCCCTCATTCTTTCTCTGCTGCCTGCAGACTCACCTTCCAGGCTTCGTGCAGCAAGCCCAGGAGTTGAGGAGTAAAGGTATACAGGAGGTGGCGTGCATCTCTGTCAATGATGCATTTGTCATGGCTGCATGGGGAAAGGAGCATGGAGCGGACGGAAAGGTATACATCGGATAGAAATATGCAAAATGCATGCTTCGAGTGTGGAGAAGTGTTTATTCATTTGTTTTCTTTTCTTTCTCTGTAGGTTCGAATGCTGGCTGATCCCACTGGTGCATTTGCAAAGGTAAAAAAATAAATGACCCCTATATGCCAGTTTAGTTCACAGTCTTTGTACTCATCAGCTCTTCCTGTTTGTGCTCATTAGGCGGTCGACCTGCTGCTCGACAGCGATACGATTGTGCAGGTACTGGGCAACAAACGCTCCAAGAGGTAAGCATTGTTATACCTATGAGTGTGATTTTAATGCCACAATTACAGTTTAATTTAGTTCTGAATGTTTCTGAACTTAAGGTTTCTCTATATTGTCTTAATAAGGTTTCATGCCCTTTACTATTGTTACAGTTTTTTTTTGTTTTTTTTTACATTTTCTAATAAATAGTAACCCAGTGAAGTTGTTAAATTGGACCTAAAACAACAAAAGAAATCAATAAAACCTCTGTTTTAGGAATTTAATGAAAGTCAATAAAGTGTAGTTTAAAATAATCTGATGTATCTTAGACTATGAGTGTAAGATACTCCTTACTTGGCAAGTACAAAATGTATAAAGTTATAAATATAGCTAACCGCAAAACACTTAAAATGTTTGTATTTGTGAATGTACCGAAATAAATCTGGTACAGATTTCAAAAGTTTCAAAGAGTTTTAAAACGTTCGATTCAAAAATCGAAAGTTTTTAAAGCTGTAATTGTGGTTGTTTTCAGAGATGGCTACTTACTTACTCGCTGTGCCGATTATGATCTGAATCCCTCGTATTCTGAATAATCCGTTTCAGATACGCGATGCTGGTGGAAGACGGAGTGGTGAAGAAGATCAACGTGGAGCCGGACGGCACTGGGCTGACCTGCAGCCTCTCCTCCAACGTTCTCGCCGAGCTGTAGGCCGCTGCTGTAGCTTTTTAAATCCAGCTCCTCTCCAGCGGCTGCTCTGAAAGTTGTACAAACGAAGCTCGCCTCCTGCCGACTCGACCACGGCTCTCTTCCCAAAGACGGTTGCAAACGCTGGTCACAGGTGTCAGGAGGAAGGTGATTAATGCGCACAATATTGACGCTGAGAGCAATTCCTTGCACAACCCATTAGCCCTTGTATACTCTTACTTAAATCTTAATAAACGTCATTTTCCTCAATGTGTGCTTTACTTATTCGTTTTCCATTAAGAGAAATAATTTCGCTTGTTAATTTTAGATTTCAAACTCTACGCCTGCTTCGAACATTTCACTTTCAGTTCCAGAGAGCTTTCAGGAATTTCTTCAAATTCATGCTGATTTGTTTGCAAACTCTAAACAGGTGTGGGTTAGTCTGTGATAAAAACTGAGCCTCCTGAAATGGTCGCTTTAGTATTCTGCAGAGTTAATGTTGAGAGAAAGAAAGTATTCGTCTTTTATCTTAAGACTCTGCTTAGCTTTCCAGACTTTGTTTTTTAATCTCCTCTATAAATTATAAATTGTCTGTTAATGCAGATGCAAAACCTACAAAAGGTGGAACTGCTTTAGTTTTTTGCTTAAAGGACGTGGGTTCTACAGCTAGCATTTTCTCGTGGCTTTCTTCTACTTATTTTCAAGAAGCTTTTCTTTTAAAATTGAAAACACTGGGTACTTTTTGGATTGTCCACGTCAGGTGTCTGCAACTTTTATAAACCAGAGAGACATTTTTACCTTCAGTCCATCTGAATAAAGCTCACCTAGAGTTGCAACTATTACCTGACCTTTTGGGAAAAGGCACCTTACAATTATTGTTAAATATCTACTGTGAGAAATGTCTTATGGAACCATAATTTTATTTCTGGGTTTAGAATTTAAAAAAAAAAAAAAGATGAAACCTTTGAAAAAGGAGCATTGATCCATTTTCTTCTATGTGGAATATAATTTGTGCAGATTTATGTAACAAAAGAAAAAGCACAGTTTCTAATTTAATGACAAGAAAAATAGATCCGCAAAGATATTACTGGTACTTTTGGTGTCAAATTAAATGTAGTTATTCCATGAAAAAGCTAAAACCTGCTTTTGGGATTATATAATTTGTAATAATTTTTTAACCAGAGTTAGTAAAAGCCATTGTGGAAGGTCCAAAAGACAGTGGTGGTTCTAGAGCGCAATTAATGTCGAAGCAAATTATTTCTACATGATTTAAATTTACTGACTAATGTATAAATCAAGCGACTGAATCCTTTAAAAGACATTCATAGACACAAAGGAGTTACCAACATGGCAACAAAAAAAGATATTCTACAAAGAAATAGTTAAATGTGACATCAGTAATGGTAATATCGTAGAAAGATGTATGAAACATAAACATTACACGAGGTAGAGATACATTGCTTTATAAGGTCCTGTCTTTCCTGTCTCTCCAAGAATGCTGCAGTAAAGGGGAAAACAAAACAAAAAATCCTAAAGCATTTACTTCAGGCAATTACAGAACTAACTCTTATTTTTCACATTCATTTGATTTGACTGTAATTTAAAAAAAAGCCATTCATAATATATCTGTAAGCTCAAAATCAACAATACATGCCTATGTTAATGATGGCCCTCTATCGAAGTCACGTCAAAAACTTTTACGTTTTAATATCTTGCGCCTGCCAGGTCACGCGCAGGGCAAATAGTTCCCTCAAAGTAATGACGTGCTGGCGCGGGCGCAATGCATTGTGGGTGCCGGTGGAAACAGAAACCAAATAGCTGCCCAGTTACGGTTTCATTTATTTTGAACTGGACGCTGAAAGGTACGTTTTTCCACGCTGCCATATTCTGTAGCTGTAAATTTACTGTAAGTATTACAGAGCGGTAGATTATAGTAAGCAACAAAGAGAAGGAAAACAAGCTGAGAAACGTTGTTGTTGTTTTAGTCTTAAGGCGCCTTCAATTTGAGCTACATCATGTCTGAGTAGCGCTAATTTCAAACCTGAAGCTTCCTCGGAGATTTTTTAATGGATTGCGCAATGTTTGGAAGTGGCTCGCACCCTCTGGCCTTGCAGGATTTTTGGGTCAGAGGTTTTTTAATGGAATGTGCAGCTAGCAGTGAAAGTCCGGTCATTGTGACAAATGTTGGCGTTGCGCGCCCATTTCATGGCTGTCTCTGGAGCGCGAGCTTTCTAACAAATACACGATAGATTTTCCACTATGATGAGACTAGATTCCTTATTATGGGTCAGGAACGAACATAACTAGCATTACGTGAAGCTTGCGGTAAACTTTGCTCTTCATTTGATGCACAACGTTTGCGTAAACCTGATTAGCAAGGACAATCAAAACAATCTTGATATCGATTAAGCTCCGATTACAGTTTAAGACATACTAGCTATTTGGTAGTTACTTATTTCCTATATTATTTACTCAACTCAACACGTGTTGGGAAGTATTTCTTTTAGATGGAGTTGAATACATTTGTGTTTATATAGCTGAAATAATTTGGTGTAAAGGAATACCTTGTCATACCAGCAAAATATTGTTGACCAAAAAAGCAGTTAAAAAGTTTTTATTATTATTATTATTATTATTATTATTATTATTATTATTTTTAAATAAATAAATTATAATTATGTCATTTGCTATTGCCCGGATTATTTTGTGATCCTTCATGTTGCAGCTCAGCCCTTGGATCTTTGACACAGCCATGTCTTCAACCTCCCAAAAGCATAAGGAGTTCGTGGCTGAGCCCATGGGTGAGAAACCTGTGATGGCTCTAGCCGGCATCGGAGAAGTCCTTGGAGGGAAGCTGGAGGAAAAGGGTTTTGATAAGGTCTGTCTTTTTATTTCTTTGTACATTTAGAAAAAAAATATATATATATTTCATGTCACAGTTTATGAAGTGAACATATGTACACTTGTACTATATGTACACATATGTATGTTGGGTGAATTGATAAAGGGTCAGAGGTCAGTGACCTGTTTTGTTTCAGGTCTGACTTGCCTGTCCGGATTTCGACTGATTATATAATTTACTGTTATTATAAAATAGAGGAAGTTTTGTACGTTTTGATTGAAAAGAAAGGAATTTTTTATATATATATATATATATATATATATATATATGTGTGTGTGTGTGTATATATAAAGCATATGACCCTAAGCTTTATTTGGTTTTTGACAAAAAGTAAAAAATAAATAAATCATAACATATGGGTTAACATAAAAGGAAAGCTGCGCTCCAACACAGAAAAGATGACTTAGAGCTCCAGATTTTTTTTTTTTTTTTTTTTTTTTTTGCATAAAAATATGCAGAACTTCATTACAGTTTCAGTTTTATTGGTTTTGATATATTTTATAGAATTTCCTGGGTAGTGACAAACTAGTTTAGACGTGAAAGATTCTTGTCTTTCATTTTCGGTTTGATACAAAGTTGGTAAAACGCCAGCTAGCTTTGCCTTTCCGCTGCCACATTGAACAATCTGTTAACACTACAGCAGAGGCGCGGATCAATGGTAGCCAGAGCAGCTTTTCGAAGTTCAGTGGCTTAACAACACGTTTCTCTCTATGTTGAAAGGTTACTGCAGTTCTTTTAATCAATAATGTCCTATTCTTCCTCTTCTTCCTGTAGGCCTATGTTGTCCTTGGGCAGTTCCTGGTTCTGAAGAAAGATGAGGAGCTTTTCCGGGACTGGCTCAAAGATACATGTGGAGCAAACGCCAAGCAGCAGCGCGACTGCTATGGCTGTCTTAAGGAATGGTGCGACGCCTTCCTATAAGCCCCGGTTGCCAATCATGTTGTTTTTCTAACTTGTGAAGTCTGAAATGTACATTACCTCTTCAGCAGTCAGTTCAGTCACAAGTATTCAGTAGTTTTCACAAAATAAGTAAAGTGACGTGTGCTCTTTTACATGCCATTCATTCAGATTAGAGCTCCTTCTTTCATTACTTTTCTCACCAAGCTTGTAAGCTATACAATAATGGCAGCTTGCAATGTTTACTCACTGGTAATTTCCTTATTATGCAAAAACTAATGGATAAATTTCAGCTGGAAAGAATAGAACACCGACTTCTCCTTTTGCTTGTGGGCTACTGATAAGTCAGGTTGCATTTGTGCTTGTTATGGTCTAGGTAGGGCCTTTTAAATGTCACAACTGTGTTTTATAATTATCTGAATAAAAGATCTGTTTATGAATGTCGACCTTTAGCCTGATCACTTGGCTCGGATGTCCCCAAATGTAAATTCAACTGATAATCTGCTGTTGTATTCTCACATCTAAAAGCAAAAATAAAAAATACTTTGCTTTACTAGTTCAGTAAAGGTTTAGGGTTCAGACAACTATCTCTATTCACCTCCAGTTCTCAGCGTACTCGCTCCATTTTCTTACCAACGTTGTGCTGTAATCCACCACAGACTGCGTCGCGTTTGAAGGGTTTCGCAGAGCTTGTAGCATTTTGCTGAGAATAAAAGCGATTCTTCTTATTGTAGTGATATTGAAAATACGTGTAGAAGCTGCTGTTCCTGGAACAACATCACAATTAGACCACAGCAGATCTGATTTAAGGTCTCTCTCTCTGGAGCTGAACATGGGAATGTACATGAGATACTGTTGAGATGTAAGCTACATTACCAGACGTCTAAATAAAGTGTGTTGCTGTGCTTTTAAGTGGTTATTCACATCCACTTTTACGTTTCACCTGTATATGAAGTCATCAGATGCCTTAAAGCATGCTGTTGTATTTAAATCTGATAACACTCTCTAATCTGTATCAGGAACAGCTTTGACCCGAGTCACTGCAGTTCCTTCGTTTATATATAAAAAAAAAAAACACTGGCCCACGTGTTTTCATCCGAACTGTGAAAACTTCAGCTTTTCTATTGTGTTTATTATAAAACAATAAACTGCATGTGTCACATTCAAGCACATCTGTGGTTTTATGTTCACTTAAAAAAATCACAAGAGAGAGTTCATCTTTGATGACAGGAAGTTTTATTGTTTCAGTGCTTCATTTTCCAGGGTAAGATTTTCTGCCACTTTTTTTTTTTTTTCTTTCCAGATTCGATGTTTTGCAAGGTACTGACAATGCAAGGGATGGTCACAAAATTCCAGATGCCAGAGATAATTTATTTATTTATTTTTTTTTTAACGCAGGGATTTAAAACATAAGTAGCCTGTTACATGAACACCATTAAAAACACTTTGGAAGAGGCGGGCTCTCTGCACAGGAACGTCTCTCATCTAGATGGCCACACACACCCGTCTGCAAAAGTACGCCGTAACTGCTGCAGCTGCTTTGTGCTCTAAAGAAATAGAAAATTATTCATACACGACAGAGTTAATGTAATAGCTAATGTTTGCTTCTTCGAGTACACGTCAAATGTCCTTAAATAATCGCTGGAGTGAGCTGCAATGGGGTCGGTGTGCTATCGAACTATAAAATTTCCAATTTACAGTGCTCAAATACTTGGACTTGTTGCTTAGCTTTCACAGTAGCACCTAGCCTTACACACACACACACACACACACATACGCTTCAACATCCACGCCACGGCGATACTATAAATGAGTGTAAGGTTAAATCTTGACAAAACTGATAAATTATATGTTGAAGTTCATATACAGCTGTTGTCTTTAACTGGTACAGGTAACTGCCAAAATACCAAAACGTGAAGGTTGACCTTCTGGTAGAAAAAGCTCAATATCATCAGCATACATGAGAAACCACCAAAGTAAAACAAATTTTTAGAGGGTAAATGTCAAACTTCACCTGTAATTTCTGAACATATAGCACCACTGAAAGCTATAAACTGAATTATGACATGTTACAACAATTCAAAAATAATATTCGATGAATATTTTGTCCATTTTAGCAGTTACTTGTAGCTTCTTCGAGCATGAGATATACGTGTCTGAAATCAGATGACAGTTTTTCCGCTTAGGATTTTATAGCATCTTCATGATCTTTATTATGTTCACATTTTTTGACTCAAATCCTTTTTTTTTTTTCTCCCTTTGTACAAATTTCCCAGATTCAAGAAATTTAGACCAAGACATTTTGTAGATGACTCTTAAAGGTACATTGGCAGCTTTATTTTTATTTTTTTATGTGAGGCTACTATAGTACACCGACGTCTTGTTTGAGTAGGAAGTACACGTATGTGCTGTACATACATGTACATACATACTGTACAGTTGTACTTTGAATCAACAACAATCCCTGATTTGTCTCAAAGCAGAGCACAGAAGAACTTCTTCTCCCTGAAAGGGTTTTCTGAGGTGGGCACCGGGGTGATCAGGGGGTCATCGCAGGCGTGCGCGTCGCAGTATGCCATCAGGTCGGCCGCCGCCTTCGAAACCTGTAAACAAAGACGATCGGAACATCGTTAGAAATGTCTTTGTAAAAAAAAAAAAAGTCACTTGTTGACTGAAAGACGAGCAGGAATGGGTGTGGCATCGTCAGAAGTGATTTCCGTCTACAGCTGGAATGTGCTTGTGGACAGACGAGATTTAAAGGAGGTGGCTGGTGTTTCAATCAGCTGCATGTGGGAGTGAAGACCTGGAAACCAGGTTATAAAGCTAAAAGGAAGAGGTTCTCAACCCTAAAATGCCACAAGTAAAACAGGTTAAAATGACACAACTTAAGGTTCTTGTGTATAAGAAAAACAACAATCCATAACGGGTCTGAAGTCGGTCAGTTTTTCCCATGGCAGCACAGACTGCTTGCTCGCTCAGTCACATGGGACTCGTTCATTTTGTGTTGGAACTGTTTCCTGAAGCAAAGACTAAAGATGAGGACAAATAAATTACAGCTAAATGACAATTATCTAAGGCTAGCTAGCAGGACAAATAAAAAAAAAGACATCACACCTCCGCTTATCCACATGACCTTTACCCTTTCATCATTTTAGTTCCTCCATTTGATTTTTCTTCTGTTTTTTAATGTCCCACTGAGCTTCTTCTGGAACCCATTTGTTTGGTTTACCTTCCTGGCTAACGGGAATGTTGGGAGCTGTGAAGAATTCCCGCCACACTTTTCGCAATCCATGAACTACTTGCACATTTTGCTATACTACCTCCAGGCATGTGACAGGCCAACACAGGGAAAGGATATACCGTTTTCACATATTTCTTTTTTACAAATAAAAATCTGTGCGACAACGAATATTTGTATGCTGAACTCAAGACGGCTAAAAATCTGTCAGACTATTTAGGGATTGTTTGTAAAAGTGGCTTTCAATTCTTTTCACGGATTCTCCAACGCAGACATGTGGATTTGAACCATCTGTAACTCCGGCTTCACGTTCAACCCTAGACTCAAATCCACAGCTGACTCCAACTGGTTTGACTCTAACCAGATTTCCGGCTCATTCTCGAGTAAAGCGCCACGTTTCAGGGGATGAGGAGGAGAAGTTCGTTTTCTGTCACGTTTTGCACGTAGGCAAACAAAATCACTTCAGTTTCATCTCACCTTCTTCAGCATGTCTCCAACACTTGGGGGTTTCTATTAACAATTACGTTCTTCCCGATCTCAGTAATAATAATAATAATAATAAAAATCATCTTCAAGAAGTTTGAACATTTCTGCAGAGCTCTGCTGAGATAAGGTCTGTTGGCCCAGAGCTTCAGCAGGGACGCTTTTCCGTCTGATTCCCTCGGTTTCTGTCCCCGAGCTCTGCTCTCTTTCTTTGTGAACCATCTTGCGGTCGCCTACTGTTTGAGGAAAATGTACTCATCTGTCCGTCTCCAGCCGAGGTTCACCACGCGTCATTGCACACACTGTGTGTATGGCCCTAATAATAACTCAGAATAATGAAAAGCATCAAGTCCGGAGCCCCGTTCTGCCGGCATCCTTGGCTTTTCATGCTGGATTTTTTTTTTTTTTTTTTGCTCGCATTACGCACAAATTTCGCTCATGAAAAGGCAGCGCTTACTTTAACCTGAGCTGCACTCGTACACACTCATTCAACTATGGGCTCATAGTTGAATGAGTGTGACTATGTGGGAAGGACAGTAAGGGAAAAAAAACCCACAATTATTTCTGCATTTCCTTCTTAAAACCTCCATTTTTGCAGTGAATCTTTTATTAGCGGGATATTAACGTCGATGTTAAAATGTGGCTCTTTTCTCTAAGTTAAAGCTCTGTGTAACAATAAGCTGTGGTTTTATAAAACATAACAGAAGGTTGGTGAAATCGTTGCATTTATTTTGGATTTATCCGTCGATTTTATAGTTCTGCACTTATGATTTGTTTTAGAGTTTTAAAACGTCTTTTTGAGCCAAAACCACTGAAAAACATTCCAGTGGGCTGCTATGTCTGTCTTCCTCTAATTAGCTCATAAAGTTTTACACTGACATAACGAGTTGGGGAAAAAAATAATTTCCCCTTTCAGATCTCTTCAGTTTTTTCACATTTTAATGTTTCGGATTATTAAAACATATTGTGATTTTTATCTAATAACAAAAAGCTTTCCAAATCAATCTGACCCGATGCGGAAAATGTAACTGCCTCCTGAACCGATTAACTTGTTGAATTGCGTCAACCTTAGATCTGCCAACACGGCTTTGTTGTTACTGGTAGCGAGTCTTGAGGATTTGACTTTGACTAGGCCACTTTTCTTTTCTGTAATGCTACTGATTGTTTTCCTAGAAGGTCTTGGAGATCATCAAGATGTTTTGTGGTAAATGCCTTTTACTGTTTGTTCAGTATTGGTTTTGACCTTGAGACTCACCCAGTTTTATTTTTATTTTTTTTCATGCATCATGAAGCCTCAGATGTTCTTCTGGGTTCCTTTGTGAGCCTCCGCATGTGCCGCCTATAGCGCTCTGCTGTAATCACGGATTGACCGGCCACTCCTTCCCAACATTCACCGCTGTTCTGTCATTTTTCCACTTGCTGATAATGGCTCTCACTGTGGTTGACTGGAATTCACAACGCCTCAGAAATGGATTTGTAATGATGTCAGTAAGTTAGTTTTCTCATCTACTCATGAATTTCTACAGATCTGGTCCTACTTCATGTTGTCAGGCAGACTATAGGGGATTTCTTGACTGTACAGGGTAGTAGCTACCTAGTAGGATTACTTTAAAAAAAAAAACAAAAATCACATTCGTTACTGAGAAAGTTCAATTTTAACATAGGACCAGATTGACTGTTTGTAGCTTTCTTTCACTCGCTCTATATCCATCAATTAACTGAAGTGTGACAACAAAAAAACAGCAAACATAGAAGAAATCTGTACAAGGCAGCCAATATATATATATATATATATATATAT